CACACCCTGTTTCGATATTGCGCCTGTTTTTTTCAGAGTGTGCTGCGCTTATTCGCATGCCTGTCTTTTCTATGTCTCGTCTATATAGTATTAGATTTGAATATTTTCTGTAATAAATACTTAACTTATTGGCGCATTGACGTCACTAAAATCTATGTGTCGTCCTACTGTTCAGCGTATCAACATGATGCAATTTGATCGTTTATGGTCGGTTAGTCATATGCGGCGTACGTTCTTAATATACCAATTAAGAGTGAACAGCTCGTGGGTTGGCATATGTCACGCGATGACCACCATGAGATGATATTACAGATATATATCGGCCTGTGAAAAGGCTAAAGTCGATGGGCTTCGTAAAAAGATATATCCCGCTTGGTCCGCCGACCTTACCCCCACCTACAAACCAACGCTTGTCTTTCACCCAAAATGATGACTCAAATGTAGCAATTAATGATTCGAGGCTGGGAATAGAGTTGTTATCCCTAGGTATCCAATAGGAGAAGCAAAATTCAAATTTATCGAGTGAAGGTAGTTCAGCTTGAATAAACTTTTCCCAGTAACAGCCGTCAAACACAGAATCCAACATATTTCTGCAAGAAATCAATTTAAGATGGCGAAGCCTAGGTGTCACTTGAAGTAGTGATTCAATGCATTTTGTAGGAAGTGAACAATTGGTAATGGTCAAAGACATCAATGATGAGTGAATCATGGACCTATCATGCACTGTCTCACTCGATTCGATTGAAAGTGTGACCAGAAAATCATAGGTGATATGCTTTAAGAGTTGCTCTAGTTCTAGATCACTAACGTGAGAGAGAACCAACGAACGCAGTCGACTAAATCTACCAGTAACGCAGAATGAGACGAATATTGGAATGATACTGCTCTTTGACTCCTTGTCGTAGGAGACAACAAGTGAAATGACTCGTTCGGGTCGGATCAGATGCGAAATCTGCCCAAAATCAGACGTTGCCTTGGGATTCAAGACGAGTTCAAATTGATCGTAGTTATTGACAATAGCATAGAATTGTTTGCAGACACGACGAATCGAAATAAGAACCGTTCTGTTATCGCAACAGTCGAAAATGCGATAGAACAGTTCGACGGGCAGACTCAGAAGAGACACGTTCGTCATTGATGTGTTTTTAGTAGTGAATATGGAGACCATTCGAAGTAGAGCCTGTTCTACTTTGTTGAGAAAATCTTCACTCGACATAAAGTTATATATATATATATATATATATACCAAGCAGAAGTCGATCGACAGAATAAAAGAAAAAGAAAAAAAATATATACATGTATATAGGACGCCACTGATTTCACTAAGTCGTATTTATTTCTGCTTTTGAATGGAAAAATCTGTAAAGGATTTCACTGTAATGGTACTTCCACTCTCTTTTTTGACCATTTCTAGATCTCATAGGTGGCAAGGCCGATTGGGCTGAAATTTTTACCACAGATAGAGCACATCAAAGAACGAAGCACGTGTTCAAGAAAAAAAGTTTTACAGAAGGTCTTTGTAGGGCTTTCTGAAAAAATTTGGTTTTCCATAGGATCTCGTCTTGTCACTGTGCGACCTCATCAAGCTTTGTCCGATTGGACTGAAATTTTTTTCGCAGATACCTACGACTATATCTCAGAGGTAATCTAGAGCTTTCGCGAAAATTTCACTTTCTTTTTTTATAAAAAACATACTTAAGGGTTTCTTCCAAAATCAGTGTTCCGGCTCTTATGAACCCTATAAATCTGGATGAAGCAGTAAAAATGAAAACCGCCGATTTTCCCTCTGGAGGATAGTTCCAAATATCTGTGGTAAAAGTTCCAGCCCGATTGAATAAACTTAGAGAGTGGTTGTTCATCGCACAATTGAGCGCTCTCAATGAAAAACGGATTTTGAGAAAAACTCAAAATAATTTTAAAAAAACTGAGAGTTCGTTTTTTAGCGATTCTATGAACTATCTGTTATGGAAACCTTCTATTACATCTTATTAGAGAGTAAAATTTTGACAATTTTTCGTATACCAGCTCTTCGTAAAAATCGAGTAAAAAATTAAAGACAGATCGAATTCAGCTTGTTCAAGCGAAGATCGAAAGGCCAGCATCCAGCCTACCCTTAGAGCACACAAATAAAAAGACGATTTTTTTCATTTTTATTACAAAAGAGGAGGGTACCCTTAAATATTTTTTATTTCTGCTGATAATAATGCATATCTGCTACAAGGATCCCTATAAATTAAAAAATTAACTAATTCATTTCTTTTGAAGTCATTTTGCCATCTCCTTGTCAAGGTAGAAATGATGACATGGTTTCCCTTTTGCCACTTACTCAATTCTGGTGATGAAAACGGATTGAACTAACGCCTACTGTTATTATAAGAAAGCGTTTCTACTTAACTTTGTAGAAGTGAAAGATTTCTTCTTGAAACGAAACAATTTCACTTTATTGGTAATATTGCCCATTCTTTTTTTACATAGTTTAATAGCTGAAGTCTCTTTGCAGCTAAGATATGGCAGTCAGAGGAATCTGCAACGTATTCAATGCATGAAAATTGCTCGACAAGCTCATTACTCCTATAAATATAACATTGAAATATGAAAATGGATAAGGTAAATTAGTTACTACTACTACACTTCGAAACGTATTAAAGTCAAGACGTTCTTTGCTTATATTAATACTGATTAAAGTATGGAATTTCAGCTGATTTCGAAATACAGCCAAAAACATCTTAATCGCTGCTAAGCTTGTCTGATCTTTTTCAAAGTCAACTTTAAATTTCAAATATAGTTTTTCTAATGTTTTCGAAACTTTTAAAGGTTGTTCATTTGCGAAATTAAGGAAGTTTTTAGTGATATATTGAGCTCTTGGAGATTTAACATAATCTCAAATATTTTAATCAAAGGTTTGACAGACTTTAGAACAACTGTCAGATGTTTAATAGAGGGTACTTTTTGTGGAATACTACTAACATTATTAAAAGTAATAGTTTCTAATAATATTAGTTTGCGTAAGTTAATTGATGATGATGAACATGACATGGTCTGCAATACATTTTCACTGGATGCTGAAATAGAAAATTCATTTACGCTTTCTATTGGAAGAGTTAATCGCAGACACTAATGCTGACTGTGAGGATCAGATCCATATATCCAATATAATTCTAAGACGAGCGATTCTATACTTAACAAGCAATGAAAACGGAAGTAGAATAGTGTAAAGACATATTCTGGTCCTTTAACTATGAGAGATCGAACTATGCGACTCCTTGTCGACTGTATGTGTTCAATAAATAGTCTGAAATGTCTATAAGAAGTAAACTTGGGTGTGATATTAATATTATACAGATATGGTTCAGTTTTTCTTTGAAAGCGTCGATTGAAATTGTTGAATGCATAGACAATATCGAATTTGTGTAGGCAAACGGAAATGAGCAAGAGTAATTCATCAGGCAGATATTCCAAGCAATTCATGGCTTATCTGAAAAAAAAAAGAATTCGAAAATATCATTTATTGATGTACATAATTCTACATGATACACGTAAATCTTTTATACTCTTTTCTTTTTACATCCTGCCATACCATGTAAAAATCTACTAGAGCAATATTGGTCTCATTCTCTAACAAACAGGTAAAAAATAAAAAAGATACAGCATAATATTATTATAATAACTGCGTACACAGCTTGGTTTTTTCCAAGCATAGCAAAACAACGCAAATCTTTTTGATAATGAATATATATAATGAATGTCAAATGAAGCAGAACGGATGAAGACAAATCAGTGATTATTTTATACTTGGAAAAAAAAACAAATAGAGACATTTAATTGTTGAAAAAAATCCTTTTACAGGTATTACTAAATATTATAACACACTGTAATTCACTCCAATCACTGTTCAACTAGAATCTAATCTCACCCCACAGATGTTAGAATTCTCCACACATACCGCCTAGTACAAATCATTTCTATTAAAAAACTTGATAAAAAAATCAAATATGATAAGGTAAGTGAAGTTGAGATATACCCAGAATCCGAGAATTAGCAATTCAAGAAAATCTAGAAGATGAAGAAACTTATGGATTATAGATTGATAGCAGATAGAACACCTAAAAAGCTATTGAATTTAAAGAATTCAGGAAAATCAAGAAATTTAAGAAAATAGAGAAA